TGACTTTGCAAATCCTATATAGGCCTAAACAGTATCAATGATGATATATGACTTATATGCGCCCAAGAAAGCAAAGGTAACTGAACTAAATGACTATCGCCCCGTAGCACTCACCTCTGTCATCATGAAGTGCTTTGAGAGACTAGTCAAGGATCATATCACCTCTACCTTACCTGTCACCCTAGACCCACTTCAATTTGCTTACCGCCCCAATATATCCACAGACGATGCAATCGCCATCACACTGCACACTGCCCTATCCCATCTGGACAAGAGGAATACCTATGTAAGAATGCTGTTCATTGACTATAGCTCAGCATTCAACACCATAGTACCCTCCAAGCTCATCATTAAGCTCGAGGCCCTGGGTCTGATCCCCGCCCTGTGCAACTGGGTCCTGGACTTCCTGACGGGCCGCCCCCAGGTGGTGAAGGTAGGAAACAACATCTCCACTTCGCTGATCCTCAACACTAGGGCCCCACAAGGGTGCGTGCTCAGCCCCCTCCTGTACTCCCTGTTCACCCATTACTGCGTGGCCAAGCACGCCTCCAACTCAATCATCAAGTTTGCAGGCGACACAACAATAGTAGGCTTGATTACCAACAATGACGAGACCGCCTACAGGGAGGAGGTGTGGGCTCTGGGAGTGTGGTGCCAGGAAAATAACCTCTCACTCAATGTCAACAAAACAAAGGAGATGATCGTGGACTTCAGGAAACAGCAGAGGGTGCACCCCCCCTATCCACATCGATGGGACCGCAGTGGAGAAGGTGGAAAGCTTCAAGTTCCTTTGCGTACACATCACTGACAAACTGAAATGGTCCACCCACGCAGACAGTGTGGTGAAGAAGGCACAACAGAGCCTCTTCAACCTCAGGAGGCTGAAGAAATTTGTCTTATCACCTAAAACCCTCACAAACTTTTACAGATGCACAATTGAGAGCATCCTGTCGGGCTGTATCACCGCCTGGTACGGCAACTGCACCGTCCGCAACCACAGGGCTCTCCAGAGGGTGGTGCGGTCTGCCGAACGCATTAACGGGTTCAAACTACCCGCCCTCCAAGACACCTACAGCACCCAATGTCACAGGAAGGCCAAAAAGATCATCAAGGACATCAACCACCCGAGCCACTGCCTGTTCACCACGCTATCGTCCAGAAGGCGAGGTCAATACATGTGCATCAAAGCTGGGTCCGAGAGAATGAAAAACAGCTTCTATCTCAAGGCCATCAGACTGTTAAATAGCCATCACTAGCACATTAGAGGCTGCTGCTGCCTACTGAAATCACTGGCCACTTTAAGAAATGGAACACTAGTCACTTAAATAATATATTATATAATAATCTAAGGGGGACCTGTAAATAATAATCTCATATGTATTATATTCTATAATATTCTACTGTATCTTAGTCCATGCCGCTCTGTCATTTGTTGGGTTCTATTTTCTTATAATTAGATGTGATGCCTAGCTTAAAAAGAATACATTAATGATTAAACATAATAGGTTTGTGCTGTACTGATATAGATTGTTTAACATAACAAGCTGTGATTAATGTGAGGAACCGTTAGGGGGAGGCTGAGATAGACTTGTGACACACACACACACACACTGCCTCTTTGTTAAACCGCTCAAGGACATGTGTTCTGCTACAAAGAAGAAGAGGAAACTATGTCTGAGGTTGCTGACTCTCGAGACAAGTTGCAAAAAACAACTAATGCCCGGCAACAGTGAAGCGCCAAGGGGCTGGGACCAGCCTGTGCGCCAACGATAGGCTGAGTAAGTTTAAACCACGCTCAGCCTCTACTCTGACAGGCCCGCTTTGAACGGGAACTATCTCTGTCAGAGTATTTGAAGAATAACTTTGGGTTGGGACAGTTAGTTCTTTGTTTTGCCCTGCGAGGTGTTACAGTGAACCCGTATATACGAAGATTGCATTTACCATTTATTCGCTTGACTAATTATATTAATAAAAAAGCTGAGAATATATTCAGTGACTTAGCGTAAAATTCTGTTCTGATACCAGATTCGAATTACGCAACTTAACACATTGCCTGTCCATATATGTATATATTCTTAAATTCCATTCCTTACTAGATTTGTGTGTATTGGGTGTATGTTGTGAAATTGTTAGATATTACTTGTTAGATATTACTGCACTGTCGGAGCTAGAAGCACAAGCATTTCGCTACACCCGCTATAACATCTGCTAAACACGTGTATGTGACAAATAACATTTTATTTTGATTTGATTTAGAGTATGGTTACATTTAATTTGCTCTGTTGAACCTACCCTTTGGAATGACTTTACTAGCAACAGTGAATCCATTTAATTATCAAGAGATCTCTCAATAATCATTCTAACGATAACACACTGGTAGTAATCAGTGACCAATATCAAAGCAAAGCAGGGCTTGGTTAAAATCCTGGATGGGAGACTTATGGGGGACCTGTAGATACATCAACTCTCCAGTAGGAGGTGCTGTCCAACTTATTTTTTTATTTTTTTATGACAGTGGATATAACGTTTTAGATCAGACATTGTTTCAAAGGTACAAATTCAACATATTTTATACAAGGTTTGTCTATGTTGGAAATTGGTTACCATGATTGCATAATTCTGTGGCTGAAATTTCACCCTCAAAAAAACAGTTGATGACTTTTTGCAAATCCATTGTATTTTCCACATAGATTCCACGTCACAATATGTTGACAGATTATGTTGATTCCACCAGTTTGTGCCCAGTGGGTGGGTGATCACTCTAAAGGTGTACTCATGCTTCCCAACCAAAACATTTTGGAAGAGCTTGTGCATAAATTATGATTACATTTTGTGACGTTTTTGTTCGTTTTGGACTTCAGTAAGCGCTTTTTCGGTTGATAGGGTTCACCCATTTTTTTTTTGAGGCAAGCATAAGTCAGTAGCCGAAGTCTACGCACCTTAGTCGATGATTGGTCAACTGTAGGGATTCTTCAGTAAAGTCTTTGTTGTTGTTCAATGAGAGAGGACTAGTTTTCATGCACATTTTTTCACTTACGGCACCAAACATCTTAGTTAGATGTAAAATTGCGCGACTAAGATCTCCTCTGCAAAAAACGTCAAAATGAATTACAGATTTCTTGAGTTATCTTAGATTCATTCTATTTTGAGGTACAGTGTCTCAAAATGGACAAACAGTACTATTGCTGCTTTTTTTCTCGTTTTTCAAGCGAATGTCTTTCAAGGGAGTATACGAGCACACTCGTTCGGCTAGCTGCCAACTGAACTGAAGCATGCTGCCTTAAAACAGGCCTGCAGGCTGCAGAACAGGAGTGGAGCGGTTTAACCACAGATAGACAGATGCTACAAATCACTGCCATTGTTAAGAGCCCTGGCTGGCTGGCTGGCTGGTTGGTTGGTTGGTTGGCTGGCTGGCTGGCTGGTTGGCTGGGCTGGCTGGTGGCTGGCTGGCTGGTTGGTTGGCTGGCTGGTTGGTTGGCTGGCTGGCTGGTTGGCTGGCTAGTTGGCTGGCTGGCTGGCTGGCTGGCTGGCTGGTTGGTTGGCTGGCTGGTTGGTTGGCTGGCTGGCTGGCTGGCTGGCTGGCTGGTTGGCTGGCTGGCTGGCTGGTTGGCTGGCTAGCTGGTTGGTTGGTTGGCTGGCTGGCTGGTTGGTTGGCTGGCTGGCTGGTTGGCTGGCTGGCTGGCTAGCTGGCTTGCCCACTCCTAGCTCATGCATATATTACACACACACACACACTCACGCCTCAGACACGTTTACTGCCACACACACACACACACACACACAACACACACACACACACACACTGATGTCCTATACACGCAGAGTAAATGTAATGACATAGAACAGTAAAGCAGCCATATGGATGTATTTGGGTAGAAGCCAAAGTATACCACTTATCCTCCTATAGCCAAATAAACCTCTGTCAAATATTATTTGTCCTTGCATGTTAACATCCTCTTTAAACAACTCACACATAAATAGTTGTCTTTGTTAGCTCAACTAGTGGTCTTTAGTTTTACTATTTCGTTTTTAGACTTGATCTTTAGTATTTTACCATATACAGATCATCATGCCATGACAGTGTCTCTCTTAGAAACAGTAATAGTTCAACTAGCTGTTGATGCAGGATACAAAATAATAATATGAATATGAATAACTTGGTGAACCGTTTCTGCCTATTCACGCAACGCGTCCCCTTTAATGTGCATCTCGAGGCGCGGCGCGCGCGGGACTCTTTGTTTTGCGCGCCAACGTCCAACCGCAGCCCGCGCGTTTTAGCGCCAAACCAGCTGATGATGTGAGACTTGAGGGAAACGGAGAGAGAGAGAGAAAAACAGACAGAGACAGATATTAGACGCATCATGTCTGTTTAACTTCTAGTGAGCTCCGGAGAGAAGGGCGGAGAGCAACAATAAGGATCCGTTTTCTGTGTTTATGAGGAGGAGACGCGTCAGGTCCCCCAGCACCAACCCCAGCGGAGAGAGCAGCGCGGCGGATCCCCCAGCATCAACACCAGCGGAGAGAGCAGCGCGGCGGATCCCCCAGCATCAACCCCAGCGGAGAGAGCAGCGCGGCGGATCCCCCAGCACCAACCCTAGCGCGGCAGAGCGGTAGAGCAGCGCGGCAGAGAGAGAGAGCGGCATCGGGGTGATTGTTGCGTTGTTGCATGTCTTCTCTCTCTGAATGCTGAATGCCTAGAGAGCGGCGAGCTTGACTAACTAGGCTGATTATGATGACTGAAGTGGCAGCGGCTGTGAGCTGCTATGAGCCTAGCGCATGGAGGCTGCTGTGTTCTGCCTGTCTATCTGATATGATGATCCGCCCCGGAGAGAGCGAGGTGCTGCGGCCATAGAGCATGTTGTCAGAGCCACCTGCCGCTCCTAGCGGGCACTGACTGGTTCAACCCTGGTTCTACCCTGGTTCTACCCTGGTTTATAGGCGTCTCTGCTGCTAATAGAGAGACAAACATACTGAACACAGTCAGTAAAACAGACTGCAGTATGGTGGTGATGATAGTGATGTTGATGATGATGATGATGTTTGATAGTTGTTGCATGAACTTGGATGAACAGGTGTGTTTCTCATCACATATATAATATAGCTCTGCTGTTTTCATCCCTATTGAAAACGGCCACTATCCTCCCCTGTGTCTTCACAGATCTCCGCTAAAGGACTAGCTACATTACCTTACCGCTGTTCCAGGCAGCGTACTAACCGAAAGGACAGGAAGAACGAGTCTTATTCTGCTGATCCCTGCATCTCTGGGACATATTTTTTTTTTAAAGTGCTCTCTGTATGAAAAGCGTCCCTCCCTGCGCACCACCACCACCATCGCCCCTTCACCCACAGAACGGGTACCAACTGGTGGCTGAGCAGAGGCAGCAGAGGCTGAGAAGGGAGGTGGCGAGTGCTCCGAGGCAGGCAGCCTCAAACGCAGCCCTCCCCCTCTCCCTCCAGACAGACGCCCCCCGGGGGTGAATGTGATATATGGCCGGCTCCATGGTTACCGTGGGCTGTGACTTATAGCGCCCCGCCACACCGGAGGAGGGGGGTTCTCCATCTCTCTCCACAACGACCTTCACGTGGTGTTTTTTTTTTTTTTTTTTTTTTTTTTTATCTCCGAGCAGATCGTCTTCCCCCCGGAGCTGTAAACACGTCCTCCTGCCCCGCAGCTGCCCAGTGCGCAGGTGCCAATAGAAACAGGTAGGCTATGGTTCACTATTCTATCCTCACGTTACCTGTATGTTTCTAGATACACACCCTACGACAGTGTTATAGGAGGCCTGAGTAGTGACAGTAATGACAATAGTAGCCCAGCATGCCGCTACTGCAGTAGCCTATTCAGCCTATCATTTTACTGGACGTGTATGTAACCAGTTACTGTAAGTCGATGGGTATATATCAACAAGGAGGCTGGTATAGAGCTGGTGATGGGATACCGATGTATATTAAAGGTGTTGATGTGATACCGATGTATATTAAAGGTGGTGATGTTATACTGGTGTATATTTAAGGTGTTGATGGGATACTGATGTATATTAAAGGTGGTGATGGGATACCGATGTATATTGAATGTGGTGATGTGATACTGATGTATATGTCAGCCTGTGATTCATAACTGTCTAGCATATACAGTGGGGAAAAAAAGTATCTAGTCAACCACCAATTGTGCAAGTTCTCCCACTTAAAAATATGAGAGAGGCCTGTTTCATCATAGGTACACGTCAACTATGACAGACAAATTGAAAAAAAAATTCTCTAGAAAAACACATTGTAGGATTTTTAATGAATTTATTTGCAAATTATGGTGGAAAATAAGTATTTGGTCACCTACAAACAAGCAAGATTTCTGGCTCTCACAGACCTGTAATAGGTAAGCAGCTTGGTTTGAAGAAATCAACTGTGGGAGCAATTATTAGGAAATGGAAGACATACAAGACCACTGATAATCTCCCTCGATCTGGGGCTCCACGCAAGATCTCACCCCGTGGGGTCAAAATGATCACAAGCAAAAATCCCAGAACCACACGGGGGGACCTAGTGAATGACCTGCAGAGAGCTGGGACCAAAGTAACAAAGCCTACCATCAGTAACACACTACGCCGCCAGGGACTCAAATCCTGCAGTGCCAGACGTGTCCCCCTGCTTAAGCCAGTACATGTCCAGGCCCGTCTGAAGTTTGCTAGAGTGCATTTGGATGATCCAGAAGAGGATTGGGAGAATGTCATATGGTCAGATGAAACCAAAATACAACTTTTTGGTAAAAACTCAACTCGTCATGTTTGGAGGACAAAGAATGCTGAGTTGCATCCAAAGAACACCATACATGAAGCATGGGGGTGGAAACATCATGCTTTGGGGCTGTTTTTCTGCAATGGGACCAGGACGACTGATCCGTGTAAAGGAAAGAATGAATGGGGCCATGTATCGTGAGATTTTGAGTGAAAACCTCCTTCCATCAGCAAGGGCATTGAAGATGAAACGTGGCTGGGTCTTTCAGCATGACAATGATCCCAAACACACCACCCGGGCAACGAAGGAGTGGCTTCGTAAGAAGCATTTCAAGGTCCTGGAGTGGCCTAGCCAGTCTCCAGATCTCAACCCCATAGAAAATCTTTGGAGGGAGTTGAAAGTCCGTGTTGCCCAGCGACAGCCCCAAAACATCACTGCTCTAGAGGAGATCTGCATGGAGGAATGGGCCAAAATACCAGCAACAGTGTGTGAAAACCTTGTGAAGACTTACAGAAAACGTTTGACCTGTGTCATTGCCAACGAAGGGTATACAACAAAGTATTGAGAAACTTTTGTTATTGACCAAATACTTATTTTCCACCATAATTTGCAAATAAATTCATAAAAATTGATTTTTTTTCTCATTTTGTCTGTCATAGTTGACGTGTACCTATGATGAAAATTACAGGCCTCTCTCATCTTTTTAAGTGGGAGAACTTGCACAATTGGTGGCTGACTAAATACTTTTTTTCCCCCACTGTATGTGTATTTAATGTGATATAGTGATTTTATTACTAATGTGTATTTATTTTGATACTAATGTGTATTTAAACTGGGAATGCAATGGTAATGTAATACTAGTGTGTATTTTAGGATATACTCTAAAAATTAAGAATTAAGAAATTAGAAAAAATAAATAAAAATAATTGTAAAGTGGTTGTCCCACTGGCTATCATAAGGTGAATGCATCAATTTGTAAGTGGCTCTGGATAAGAGCGTCTGCTAAATGACGTAAATGTAAATGTATTTAAGCTGGTAATGCCATGGTAATGTGATACTGGTGTTTGTCAGCCTGTGATTCATAACTGTCGAGGATTATTCCAATTTGTCTCTGGTTTAATATTTCATTCAGACCTCTTCAATAATGCAGACCAAGCTCCTCTTGGCTGCTTCAGTCCTTCAACAGATCAAATATTACCAATCTGCTCCCCATTATGTAAAATAGACATCAAGTTAGTCCCAAATGGCACCCCGTTCCCTATATAGTGCACTACTTTAGACCTGGGTCCATATGGCTGTGGGCAGAAGTACTGCAGTAGGTGGGGAATAGGACTGTATTTAGGATGGACACATCAACACCTGCTTCCCTCTCTCCAGCATCTAGAGCCTAGGATAGATGTGGTAATGGGAGACTAATGTATGTGTGGACAGTTGAGAGATTGTGTATGGCTGGATCCCAAATGGTACCCTATTCTCTAGTGTACTACTTTTGACCAGCACCCTATGGGCCCTGGTCTAAAGTAGTGCACTATATAGGGAATAGGGTACCATTTGGGAAGCTGACAGAGTGTATCTATCCCATAGAGATTGTATGGAATGGATGGAGCACTCAGCTGCTAATCAGGTTATCCTGGAGGTCTTACCGGCCAATGGAAGAGTTGATCCAGTATGACTGGGGATACTATTGATCTGTGGCTCGTATGAAAGACAACTCACAGCCAGTAATCAGCTAATACAAGCAGACAGGATGGCGCCTCCTCTATCACATTAGTCATAATGTAGAGAAGATCTCCAACATAACATGGAGAATCTCCTTGTAAAATGCTGTTCAGTCCAGGACTATAGTGTAATTGGTGTCCAGGTAACCAGCCTTGTTTGCAGCTAGTGACATGATTAAGAACTTTTATATTTTAAAAAATTGTGTTGTGTTTGTAAATGTGTGAATCGTATCTAACCATCCTATCATCCTATCCTATCGTCTTATCATCCTATCCTATCATCCTATCCTATCATTCTACCATCATTTCATCATATCCTATCATCCTATCATATCATCCTATCATATCATCGTGTATTATCATCCTATCATCCCATCCTATCATCCTATACTATCATTCTACCATCATTTCATCAAATCCATCATCCTATCATATCATCCTATCATATCATCCTATCATATCATCGTATCATCCCATCCTATCATCCTATCCTAAGATCGCCCCCCCCTCTGCCCTCTTCCTCCACCATGACGGTTGCTACGGGTGACCTGGGGGATGAGGCGGCGGCCCATCCCGGTGACCTGTACGAACCAGAACCGGACTACGAGTGCTGTGAACGCGTTGTCATCAATATCTCCGGGCTGCGCTTCGAGACGCAGCTGAAGACCCTCTCCCAGTTCCCTGAGACCCTGCTGGGGGACCCCAAGAAGAGAATGAGGTAACTAGAGTACTTGTTTTTTTAGTTTTCGTTTTTTTTAGGGGGTAGATCAGCTTTAATATTGCAGATAGATTGTAACTTCCATCAATGTAATTGTCTGCATCACTTCCAATCCCCCATATGTTTTTTTCTCTCTCGCATATATATATATATATATATATATATATATATATATATATATATAATATATATATATATATATATATATATATATATATATATACAGTGGGGGAAAAAAGTATTTAGTCAGCCACCAATTGTGCAAGTTCTCCCACTTAAAGAGATGAGAGAGGCCTGTAATTTTCATCATAGGTACACGTCAACTATGACAGACAAATTGAGATTTTTTTTCTCCAGAAAATCACATTTTAGGATTTTTTATGATTTATTTGCAAATTATGGTGGAAAATAAGTATTTGGTCACCTACAAACAAGCAAGATTTCTGGCTCTCACAGACCTGTAACTTCTTCTTTAAGAGGCTCCTCTGTCCTCCACTCGTTACCTGTATTAATGGCACCTGTTTGAACTTGTAATCAGTATAAAAGACACCTGTCCACAACCTCAAACAGTCACACTCCAAACTCCACTATGGCCAAGACCAAAGAGCTGTCAAAGGACACCAGAAACAAAATTGTAGACCTGCACCAGGCTGGGAAGACTGAATCTGCAATAGGTAAGCAGCTTGGTTTGAAGAAATCAACTGTGGGAGCAATTATTAGGAAATGGAAGACATACAAGACCACTGATAATCTCCCTTGATCTGGGGCTCCACGCAAGATCTCACCCCGTGGGTTCAAAATGATCACAAGAACGGTGAGCAAAAATCCCAGAACCACACGGGGGGACCTAGTGAATGACCTGCAGAGAGCTGGGACCAAAGTAACAAAGCCTACCATCAGTAACACACTACGCCGCCAGGGACTCAAATCCTGCAGTGCCAGACGTGTCCCCCTGCTTAAGCCAGTACATGTCCAGGCCCGTCTGAAGTTTGCTAGAGTGCATTTGGATGATCCAGAAGAGGATTGGGAGAATGTCATATGGTCAGATGAAACCAAAATATAACTTTTTGGTAAAAACTCAACTCGTCGTGTTTGGAGGACAAAGAATGCTGAGTTGTATCCAAAGAACACCATACCTACTGTGAAGCATGGGGGTGGAAACATCATGCTTTGGGGCCTCCTTCCATCAGCAAGGGCATTGAAGATGAAACGTGGCTGGGTCTTTCAGCATGACAATGATCCCAAACACACCGCCCGGGCAACGAAGGAGTGGCTTCGTAAGAAGCATTTCAAGGTCCTGGAGTGGGCTAGCCAGTCTCCAGATCTCAACCCCATAGAAAATCTTTGCAGGGAGTTGAAAGTCTGTGTTGCCCAGCGACAGCCCCAAAACATCACTGCTCTAGAGGATATCTGCATGGAGGAATGGGCCAAAATACCAGCAACAGTGTGTGAAAACCTTGTGAAGACTTACAGAAAACGTTTGACCTGTGTCATTGCCAACAAAGGGTATATAACAAAGTATTGAGAAACGTTTGTTATTGACCAAATACTTATTTTCCACCATCATTTGCAAATAAATTCATAAAAAATCCTACAATGTGATTTTCTGGATTTTTTTTTCTCATTTTGTTTGTCATAGTTGACGTGTACCTATGATGAAAATTACAGGCCTCGCTCATCTTTTTAAGTGGGAGAACTTGCACAATTGGTGGCTGACTAAATACTTTTTTTCCCCACTGTATATTTTTCAACTGTACTGTGATGTTTTACAAAAGTTCTGAACCTTTCTATTCTCATTGTTTCTACAGTTTGTGAATTGAAAATAAACATTTTTGCTAAAAGTATTATTATATTATTGATCGATTGACTATGACTTTTCAGATCACCCAGTAGTGCTATCTACAGGGTCAGCTCCATCCAAATATTGCAATCCTTTAGCCATTCCTGGACCTGTGTCCAGAAACAAGCTACAAATGGACAGTACCATAACAAATGATCTAATGATTCTGTCTCTTCGCAGCAAAATCTGCAGAGCTGGGAAGATTGTATCCCCCATACAAATAACATTCTATTGGTAGCAAGAATTTTATATAATAATTTAAATTGAAAGATTCTATGTTTTGAATCCAGTGTCGTTTTGCGTATCAGTTCATAAACACTATGCCATGGAATCGGTACGTCAAAAATCTCTTCCCAACTATTTTGCAATCTATATATAATAATAATAATAATATGCCATTTAGCAGGCGCTTTTATCCAAAGCGACTTACAGTCGTGCGTGCATAAATTTTTGTGTATGGGTGGTCCCGGGGATCGAACCCACTACCTTGGCGTTACAAGCGCCGTGCTCTACCAGCTGAGCTACAGAGGACCACCCATATATGGGACAGCTGTCAATCTTTTGGTCCTTAAATGAAACTGATCAACTTTTTATTTATCACAGTTTTCCTTAACCAATTATGTTCTTTAATGCCGACAGACAAGTTCCTTACTTTCTCCCCCTTCCACTTTCCTCTTCCATTTTTGCGGTAAGGCTGCAATTATTTGGTTGTAATTTTGAACATTTTGAACATTGGGTGAGACAATGTTACTAGTTTGCTAGAGAACCAGTTCGGATTTAAGTATAATTTTTTAATGACTGAAGCTTTTAATGATAGGTCTAATGCTTTAATATTTAATCATTTCTGTCCTCCGAATTCATATTCATTATATAAATAGGCCCGTTTAATTTTGTCTGGCTTGCCGTTCCAAATAAAATTGAATATTTTTTTCTCATATAATTTAAAAAACTGTTCGCTAGGCGTAGGCAAGACCATAAGCAAATAGGTAAACTGGGATAATACTAAAGAGTTAATCAGGGTGATTTTTCCACAAATTGACAGGTATTTACCTTTCCATGGTAGCAAGATCTTATCTATTTTTGCTAACTTTCAATTAAAATCTTTTGGAGTGAGATCATTTATTTCCTTTGGGATATGTATTCCGAGTATATCCACATCACCATCAGACCATTTTATTGGTAAACTACATGATAATGTAAAAATTGTATTTTTTAGTGATCCAATATGTAATATAGTACATTTATCATAATTTGGTTGTAATCCAGAGAGGTTAGAAAATGTATCTAGATCCTCTATGAGGCTGTGGAGGGATTCAAGTTGTGGATTTAAAAGAAAACATGAATCATGACACCTTTGTTTTTAAGCCCTGGATTTCTAATCCCTTGATATTTTTGTTGGATCTGATTTTAATAGCTAACATCTCGATGGCAATAATAAATAGATATGCCGATATTGGACAACCTTGTTTCACTCCTCTTGACAGTTTAAAACTTTCGGAGAAATAGCCATTATTTACTATTTTACACCTAGGGTTACTATACATGATTTTAACCCAATTTATAAGAGATTGTCCAAAATTGAAATGCTCCAGGCATTTATATATAAACCCCAGTCGTACTTTATCAAATGCCTTTTCGAAGTCTGCTATGAATAGTAGGCCTGGTTTCCCATATTTTCCATAGTGTTCTATTGTTTCCAATACTTGCCTTATATTATCTCCAATGTATCTTCCATGTAAAAAATCTGTCTGATAAGAATGAATAATGTCCGACAATACCTTTTTAATTCTATGCGCTATACATTTTGCTAGAATTTTTGCATCACAACACTGAAGTGTAAGGGGCCGCCAATTTTTTAATGGACTGGATCTTTATATTTTCCACTTGTATCCTGTTTCAGTAATAATGAAATCAGGCCTTCTTCTTGAGTGTCTGATAATCTACCATTTACATAGGAGTGGTTAAAACATGCTAATAACGGTCCTCTGAGTAACTAGAGTACTTTAGTAATATTGGTTGTACTGTGTCTGTATGTTAACTCCAATAAGATAATGAGGTAACTATAGTACTTATACATATTACTCTTTAATGTTTGCCGTTTATTGTAATTTCTTTCAGTTTGTATCTACTAGTGACATTGAGGGCTCTATTCAATCCGTATTGCGGAAATTCAGTGTTACAGCGTGATTGAAATGTAAAAGCAATGTTCCCGTGTTCCCACGGAGACTGCATTCACAGTAAAAGCTGCAAATGTTGGCTCAATCGGAAATTAACTTTCCATTTCTATCTCGTAATCTGTAACGCTTCAGCAATACACATTTAACAGAGCTATCTCGTAATCTGTAACGCTTCAGCAATACACATTTAACAGAGCTTCTAAATCTATAAAGTATTAATACATCATACAACCCCCCAAATCAACCCTCTCATACAACCCCCCCAAATCAACCCTCTCTTTCTCCAGGTACTTTGACCCTCTGAGGAACGAGTATTTCTTCGACAGGAACCGGCCCAGCTTCGATGCTATCCTCTATTACTACCAGTCAGGAGGGAGGCTGCGTCGGCCGGTTAATGTCACTCTAGACATCTTCTCCGAGGAGATCCGCTTCTACGAGCTGGGAGAGGAGGCAATCGAGATCTTCAGGGAGGATGAGGGCTTCATCAAGGAGGAAGAGCGTCCTCTCCCAGAGAACGAGTTCCAGAGACAGGTATATTCTAATGATGTATCTTTTTATCTTAGGCTGCAGTTACAGGGCACAATTAGAAAAGCAATTTTAGCTGCTTGCAACTGAGTTGCTTCTTGATTGCTCGTGAAACACCCCCCCCCCCCCCCCCCCCCCCCCATGCAACTAATAAGCAACTCAACTGAAACGTCCAGTTGAAACTTTTCAACTTTGTGCAACTCGTTGCAAACAACAGCGAATCAAAACGAATGCTTTTGTCAAATGATCCATTTGAAGGTTGGGAACTCCAGCCCAGTAGTCATGTCAACACAGCTGTCAATGCTGCGGAACAGTGGACGGGACATTACACTAACGGGACCTGGATAAATAAATAGTGGCATCAGGACTAGTAAAGGTGTTTGTCCATCAGGACTAGTAAAGGTTTATGTCCATCAGGACTAGTAAAGGTTTATGTCCATGGTTTGGAAGTAAATGACTACAGTAAAACCCAGACCTCTCTCTGACCAGTTTCAACTGAAATTGTTCAACATGAGCTGCACTCGTTAGAAAGCTTGTTGTTAGCTTGGTTAGCTCGTTGCTAGCTCTCTAGCTAGCTTGATCAAACAGTGCTGGCAATTTCAGTTTGTCTAGCTAGCTAAATTGTACAGCCAGCATTTTTTATAAATCAATAATGGAACGGTTGAATAAACAAATAATTTGTGAAATCACACTGTAACGCGGCAGATGACATGGGGTGAGTTTAGAATTCTCAAACAATATGACAGAAGCATCTTCAATTTGATTGGCTGTTGCATTACATTTTTATGGCGTTTGAGTTTCTTCATGTAACAGCAAAGTTGCTTTAGATGATGTCACTTTCAACCTGCAACTGCAACTAAAATTGTGTGAAAAGTTGCTTTGTGTAACTCCAGCCATATGCATTAATTAGTGGCACAATGTCTAGTTAATCTAAACTGGACCATGAGTTCTGATAATATCAAGTACAACTCAGAGACTGTTTGCTGTCTGCTGTACATTTTATGAATAAAAACATTGACCTTTGACCTTGAACAGGTGTGGCTGCTGTTTGAGTATCCAGAGAGTTCCGGCGCGGCCCGCATCATCGCCATCATCAGCGTCATGGTGATCCTGATCTCCATCGTGTCCTTCTGCCTGGAGACACTCCCCGTGTTCCGGAACGACGAAGAGGACGATGGGAACAAGGTGTTCCAGCCCTTCAACAACTCCACCTCTTCCTCCACCTCCTCCTACTTCACCGATCCGTTCTTCATCCTGGAGACGCTCTGCATCATCTGGTTCTCCTTCGAGTTCCTGGTCCGCTTCTTCGCGTGTCCTAGTAAAGCCGGGTTCTTCGGTAACATCATGAATATCATCGATATTGTGGCGATTATCCCGTATTTCATCACGTTGGGCACCGAGCTGGCAGAGAAACCGGAGGACGGGCAGGCAGGGCAGCAGGCCATGTCCCTGGCCATCCTCAGGGTCATCCGTCTGGTCAGGGTGTTCAGGATCTTCAAGCTGTCCAGACACTCCAAGGGTCTCCAGATCCTGGGCCAGACCCTGAAGGCCAGCATGCGGGAGCTGGGCCTCCTCATCTTCTTCCTCTTCATCGGAGTCATCCTCTTCTCCAGCGCCGTCTACTTCGCCGAGGCCGACGAGGCGGACTCGCAGTTCAGCAGCATCCCAGAAGCCTTCTGGTGGGCCGTGGTTTCTATGACCACCGTCGGCTACGGCGACATGGTGCCCACCACCATCGGCGGGAAGATCGTGGGCTCGCTCTGCGCCATCGCCGGCGTGCTGACCATCGCCCTGCCCGTCCCCGTCATCGTGTCCAACTTCAACTACTTCTACCATCGGGAGACGGAGGGGGAGGAGCAAGCGCAGTATCTGAACACTCCCGTCGCCCCGAAGGCCGACTCAGCCGAGGACCTGAAGAAGAGCGGCCGCAGCAGAAGCGGCTCCACCCTCAGTAAGTCAGACTACATGGAGATACAGGAAGCTGCACTGAACCACAGCACGGAGGACTTCAGAGCAGAGAGCCTCAAGACGGGCAACTGCACCCTGTTGGCTAATGCTAGCACCCTGTTGGCTAATGCTAGCACGGGTGCTAATGCTAACACGTTGGCTAACACCAACTACGTCAACATCACCAAGATGAGAACGGATGTATAGCCTGCTTCTGGCGTTATAACGGCGACTTCCTTGGCTGTAGAGGTGCAGGGGGACTGGAAGGAAAGAGTAGGGAGGAGAGGACTGAGGAAAGACCCCTACTCTCTCTGATGTTGTAGAAGGCTTGCAGTCCCTACTGTGGGAGTCTAGACTGGATCACTAAAACCCTGGTAAGAGTAGAGGTCCTGCATCTCACCCCCCAAACGGATCTGTTCCTAACTCAACCCCTTGCCCTTCCTTCTCCTGTTGGGAGTTGAAGCGTCTTTGTGTGTTGGGTGACTGCATGGCGTTAGTCTGGCCTGTGTGACTGTTCAGCTGTCCCGTAGTCATCTACCTGCTCCGCTCGCTGCAGTAGCCCGATAGCAGCCCAACTGCCGACTGGGACTAGGCTATATAAACACACTGACAGCAAAGCATGACCACACCTTTGTCTTATTCCACACTCTGCTGGTCCCGTCAGCACAGATCTAGCATCAGCCTGCACTGAACAAATCCTAGCCGTAACCGGTAGGAGATATACTGCAAAACTGACCTCAGATCAGCCTCTCATCTCCTAACTACTTAGCTCTAACTGCCAGCCCTGAACCTCTCTCCCACCCCGTACCCCCTGAACCTCTCTCACACCCCATTTCCCCCTGAACCTATCTCCCACCCCATACCCCCTGAACCTCTCTCACACCCCATTTCCCCCTGAACCTCTCTCCCACCCCATACCCCCTGAACCTCTCTCCCACCCCTGTACCCCCTGAACCTCTCTCCCACCCCATACCCCCTGAAACCTCTCTCCCACCTCGTACCCCCTGAACCTCTCTCACACCCCGTACCCCCTGAACCTCTCTCCCACCCGTACCCCCTGAACCTCTCTCCCACCCGTACCACTGAACCTCTCTCCCACCTCGTACCCCCTGAACCTCTCTCACACCCCGTACCCCTGAACCTCTCTCCCACCTCGTACCCCCTGAACCTCTCTCCCACCTCGTACCCCCTGAACCTCTCTCCCACCTCGTACCCCCTGAACCTCTCTCCCACCCCGTACCCCCTGAACCTCTCTCCCACCCGTACCACTGAACCTCTCTCCCCCCGTACCCCCTGAAACTCAACTATGTGGACGTTATTTCACCTCAGAAGAATGTAAGAGGTATTTCAACAATGTGCTTAATGTGTACACTGTCAGCTCTCTCTGGGCTCTCTTTCTAGCAGTCCCTGCCAGCCTAGGACCCGTCTCTCTGGGCTCTCTTTCTAGCAGTCCCTGCCAGCCTAGGACCCGTCTCTCTGGGCTCTCTTTCTAGCAGTCCCTGCCAGCCTAGGACCCGTCTCTCTGGGCTCTCTTTCTAGCAGTCCCTGCCAGCCTAGGACCCGTCTCTCTGGGCTCTCTTTCTAGCAGTCCCTGCCAGCCTAGGACCCGTCTCTCTGGGCTCTCTTTCTAGCAGTCCCTGCCAGCCTAGGACCCGACTCTTTCATTTAATGTGTCTTCAGAAATTCCATGGCAGTGGATAATATGGATGTAAACTCCCACCTTTCCTCCTCCGGGGGGGGTCTCTCTCTAGCCGGGGGGGGGGTCTCTCTAGCCGGGGGGGGGTCTCTCTCTAGCCGGGGGGGGGGGGGGGTCTCTCTCTAGCCGGAGGGGGGGGGGGGGGTCTCTCTCTAGCCGGGGGGGGGGGGGTAATGTAAATGTGGTGGGGGCGGGGCTTCTCTCACAGCAGAGTGAATGTCTTTTATTTATTCATGTGAACATTTTATTGGTCATTATTTATGTCTTTGTATATCCCTGCGGTGCGGGTCTGAATGTGTGTTTTTGGCTTGTGGTGGGTCCAGATCCCATCTGTTCTGGGTGGGAGAGAGACACCCAAGCTGAAGAACAAATTACTATCATGTAGTCATATAGTCTACCTATAGGGGTTGCTACTACTACCTATGTTTCTCCCTCATACCTACATATCTCCACCCCATCCACTCTCCCCCTCTCCCCCTCTCTCTCCCTCTCTCCCCCTCTCTCCCTCTCTTTTACCCCCCCATCCACTCTCCTCCCCCCCCCCCCCCCCCCCCCCCCCTCTTCCCCGTCCGACACTAACAGAATACCGTTCAGTTCTGTTCCACTACCCAGTGATAGTGATGGCTGCTCCACTGCCCAGTGATAGTGATGGCTGACCCACTGCCCAGTGATAGTGATGGCTGACCCACTGCCCAGTGATAGTGATGGCTGCTCCACTTCCCAGTGATAGTGATGGCTGCTCCACTGCCCAGTGATAGTGATGGCTGCTCCACTGCTCAGTGATAGTGATGGCTGCTCCACTGCCCAGTGATAGTGATGGCTGCTCCACTGCCCAGTGATAGTGATGGCTGTTCCACTGCCCAGTGATAGTGATGGCTGCTCCACTGCCCAGTGATAGTGATGGCTGCTCCACTGCCCAGTGATAGTGATGTCTGTTCCACTGCCCAGTGATAGTGATGGCTGCTCCACTGCCCAGTGATAGTGATGGCTGTTCCACTGCCCAGTGATAGTGATGGCTGCTCCACTGCCCAGTGATAGTGATGGCTGTTCCACTGCCCAGTGATAGTGATGGCTGTTCCACTGCCCAGTGATAGTGATGGCTGTTCCACTGCCCAGTGATAGTGATGGCTGCTCCACTGCCCAGTGATAGTGATGGCTGTTCCACTGCCCAGTGATAGTGATGGCTGTTCCACTGCCCAGTGATAGTGATGGCTGTTCCACTGCCCTGTGATAGTGATGGCTGCTCCACTGCCCAGTGATAGTGATGGCTGTTCCACTGCCCAGTGATAGTGATGGCTGTTCCACTGCCCAGTGATAGTGATGGCTGTTCCACTGCCCAGTGATAGGGGTGCCGTTTGGGGACGCATCCATATGTCTGATGTCATCATGCTGTCTGATGTCATCATGCTGTCTGATGTCATCATGCTGTATGAAGCTAGCTGACTTCCTTCTACATAGGTCAGAGGTCACCAAAGACAGACAGTCACTGCCAGATGCCTAAAGCTTAGTCCCAAATGGCACCCTATTCCCTATATAGTGCACTACTTTAGACCAGAGAATGGCACCCTATTCCCTATATAGTGCACTACTTTAGACCAGAGAATGGCACCCTATTCCCTATATAGTGCACTACTTTAGACCAGAGAATGGCACCCTATTCCCTATATAGTGCACTACTTTAGACCAGAGAATGGCACCCTATTCCCTATATAGTGCACTACTTTAGACCAGAGCCCTATGGCACCCTATTCCCTATATAGTGCACTACTTTAGACCAGAGCCCTATGACACCCTATTTCCTATATAGTGCACTACTTTAGACCAGAGCCCTATGACACCCTATTCCCTATATAGTGCACTACTTTAGACCAGAGCCCTATGACACCCTATTTCCTATATAGTGCACTACTTTAGACCAGAGCCCTATGACACCCTATTCCCTATATAGTGCACTACTTTAGACCAGAGCCCTATGACACCCTATTCCCTATATAGTGCACTACTTTAGACCAGAGCCCCATAGGGGAGCCAAAATAGTGCACTACATTAGGAATAGGGTTCCGTTTGGGATGCATTCCTAATGTTGCATTGTAACAGAGATTAATTAAAAGTAAAGTGTACTGTAGTCGTTTTGTATTCATACTGAACATTATCGATCAATTCCTTGGTGCATTTTTCCCATTTAACTGACATAAAGCTATAGACAGGTTGGCTGGCAACGTCACGAAAGGTGTTGAGCGCTCAGCGATGTGGCCAGAAGGGGTGCGTTGTTGTGATTTCTGGACAGTCAGATAGCTAGCACCAAGGAGAAGAAGCTGCCGTGTGGGGAATCGTAGGTGGCTCGTTTTCAGCTCGTTGTATCTTGTTATTGATATCATGTCTTGTTTTGACTGATGTCATGTCTATGCTAATATGGCTAAAATTAGCTAGCTAGCTAACCAACAACTGTAACAATGTATTTGAGAGACAACAAGTGCTCATTGTGCAAATGTATTTATGTTTTCAATAAACATTTGGTGAAGAAATATAGTTTAGATGTTTTCAACAGTCTAAGCCAACCCTGTCAGTTTTGTTACTAAACAACCAATCCTTCTATAATACTGGACAATATGTGATGGGATCTGTATGATGTCCATATTAGGAGAGCCTAGATCTCAGTAGACCTGCACGGTGGCCATATTCGGACAACCTCAGTATGAGAATGCTTTCTTCGTCAGCTCTGTATCAATAGGACCTACTCTTCTCTTCTAGTGCTGTATGCCCTTTCCAATAATCCTGTAGCATGCTTATGGTATGGATGATTCTCAAAAGCAACATCTATAGTGATGACAAGTTTTCTCTGTGAAATGTTAGTAATAATGCTATGTGCAATATCTACAAGACAAGTGACTGCTGCTGTAGGAGTGGTGTGACATTGAGCCTACAGGAAGTTTCCTTTTTTTGTTTGAACTCAACAGAAAGGTTAAAGGTTAAACTAGTGAGGTCATGTTTAGTGTGCTGTGAGAGGTTAGAACCCTAGAATCTTAGAATGTTCATGCTGTTACACAACTCTCCGCCCTGAGCCAACCAACACACCAACCAACAACCCAACAGACCAACCAACCAACACACCAACCAACAACCCAACACACCAACCAACCAACACAACAAACACAAAACCAACAAAACACAACCAAACCAACACAAAACACAAACAACACAACCAACCAATACAACACAACCACAAACAACAACACACAAACCAACCAACACCACAACAACAAACACAACCAACCAACAACAACAACACAAACCAACACACCAAACCAAAAACACACCAACACACCACAACCAACCCACAACCACACACCAACACACCAACACAACACAACCAACACAACAACACCACCCCCAACCACACACCAACACACAACCAACACACCAAACACCAACCACACAACACCAACCAACCACACCAACCCACCAACCCAACCAACCAACCAACCAACCAACACCAACACACACACAACACACCAACAACCAACCCAACCAACCAACACACCAACACACCAACCAACCAACCAACACAACCAACCACCAACAACCAACCAACCAACAACCAACCACACACCAACCACCCACACCAACACCACCAACACACCAACACACCACCCACCAACCACCAACCACACCAACACCAACACCCACCAACCCAACCAACACACACACACCAACACCACCACCAAAACCACCACCAACCACAACACCAACCACACCAACACAACCACCCCAACCAACACAAACCAACCAACCACACACCAACACCAACCCACCAACACACCAACACACCAACCAACCAACACACCAACCAACCAACACCAACCACACAACCAACCAACCAACACACCAACACACCAACACCAACCAACCAACCAACACAACCAACCAACACACCAACCAACCAATACACCAATACACCAACCAACACACCAAACAACCAACCAACCAACACACCAAACAACCAACCAGAGTATACACTGAGTGTACAAAACATTAGGAACACTTGTTCTTTCCATGACAGACTGACCAGGTAAAAGCGATGATCGCTTATTGATGTCACTTGTTAAATCCACTTTTTAAGCCTTGAGACATTTCAAATCAAATCAAATTGTATTTGTTACATGCGCCGAATACAACAGGTGTAGACCTTACAGTGAAATGCTTCCTTACAAGCCCTTAACCAACAATGCATAAGTGTTAAGTAAAAATAGATAAGTTAAAAATAAAAATAAAAAATCAGTAAAGAGCAGCAGTATAATAACAGTAGAGAGGCTATATACAGGGGGTACCGGTACAGAGTCAATGTGTAATAACAGTAGAGAGGCTATATACAGGGGGTACCGGTACAGAGTCAATGTGTAATAACAGTAGGGAGGCTATATACAGGGGGTACCGGTACAGAGTCAATGTGTAATAACAGTAGGGAGGCTATATACAGGGGGTACCGGTACAGAGTCAATGGGAAATAACAGTAGGGAGGCTATATACAGGGGGGTACCGGTACAGAGTCAATGTGTAATAACAGTAGGGAGGGCTATATACAGGGGGTACCGGTACAGAGTCAATGTGTAATAACAGTAGGGAGGCTATATACAGGGGGGTACCGGTACAGAGTCAATGTGTAATAACAGTAGGGAGGCTATATACAGGGGGTACCGGTACAGAGTCAATGTGTAATAACAGTAGGGAGGCTATATACAGGGGGTACCGGTACAGAGTCAATGTGTAATAACAGTAGGGAGGCTATATACAGCGGGTACCGGTACAGAGTCAATGTGTAATAACAGTAGGGAGGCTATATACAGGGGGTACCGGTACAGAGTCAATGTGTAATAACAGTAGGGAGGCTATATACAGGGGGTACCGGTACAGAGTCAATGTGTGGGGGCACTGGTTAGTCGAGGTAATTGAGGTAATATGTACATGTGGGTAGAGTTAAAGTGACTATGCATAAATAATAAACAGAGAGCAGGAGCTGGTGTAGTAGGATTCAATCTTAGTCCGGTATTGACTCTTTGCCTGTTTGATGGTTCATCAGAGGGCATAGCGGGATTTCTTATAAACGTCCGGGTTAGAGTCCCGCTCCTTGAAAGCGGCAGCTCTAGCCTTTAGCTCGGTGCGGATGTTGCCTGTAATCCGTGGCTTCTGGTTGGGGTATGTACGTACGGTCACTGTGGGGACGACGTCATCGATTCACTTATTGATGAAGCCAGTGACTGATGTGGTGTACTCCTCAATGCCATCGGAAGAATCCCGGAACATGTTCCAGTCTGTGCTAGCAAAACAGTCCTGTAGCTTAGCATCTGCGTCATCTGACCACTTCCTTATTAACCGAGTCACTGGTGCTTCCTGCTTTAGTTTTTGCTTGTTAGCAGGAATCAGGAGGATAGAGTTATGGTCAGATTTGCCAAATGGAGGGCGAGGGAGAGCTTTGTACGCGTCTCTGTGTGTGGAGTAAAGGTTTCCAAATGGAGGGTGAGGGAGAGCTTTGTATGCGTCTCTGTGTGTGGAGTAAAGGTTTCCAAATGGAGGGTGAGGGAGAGCTTTGTATGCGTCTCTGTGTGTGGAGTAAAGGTTTCCAAATGGAGGGTGAGGGAGAGCTTTGTATGCGTCTCTGTGTGTGGAGTAAAGGTTTCCAAATGGAGGGTGAGGGAGAGCTTTGTATGCGTCTCTGTGTGTGGAGTAAAGGTTTCCAAATGGAGGGTGAGGGAGAGCTTTGTATGCGTCTCTGTGTGTGGAGTAAAGGTTTCCAAATGGAGGGTGAGGGAGAGTTTTGTATGCGTCTCTGTGTGGAGTAAAGGTTTCCAAATGGAGGGTGAGGGAGAGCTTTGTATGCGTCTCTGTGTGTGGAGTAAAGGTTTCCAAATGGAGGGTGAGGGAGAGCTTTGTATGCGTCTCTGTGTGGAGTAAAGGTTTCCAAATGGAGGGTGAGGGAGAGCTTTGTATGCGTCTCTGTGTGTGGAGTAAAGGTTTCCAAATGGAGGGTGAGGGAGAGCTTTGTATGCGTCTCTGTGTGTGGAGTAAAGGTTTCCAAATGGAGGGTGAGGGAGAGTTTTGTATGCGTCTCTGTGTGGAGTAAAGGTTTCCAAATGGAGGGTGAGGGAGAGCTTTGTATGCGTCTCTGTGTGTGGAGTAAAGGTTTCCAAATGGAGGGTGAGGGAGAGCTTTGTATGCGTCTCTGTGTGTGGAGTAAAGGTTTCCAAATGGAGGGTGAGGGAGAGCTTTGTATGCGTCTCTGTGTGTGGAGTAAAGGTTTCCAAATGGAGGGTGAGGGAGAGCTTTGTATGCGTCTCTGTGTGTGGAGTAAAGGTTTCCAAATGGAGGGCGAGGCAGAGCTTTGTATGCGTCTCTGTGTGTGGAGTAAAGGTTTCCAAATGGAGGGTGAGGGAGAGCTTTGTATGCGTCTCTGTGTGTGGAGTAAAGGTTTCCAAATGGAGGGTGAGGGAGAGCTTTGTATGCGTCTCTGTGTGTGGAGTAAAGGTTTCCAAATGGAGGGTGAGGGAGAGATTTGTATGCGTCTCTGTGTGTGGAGTAAAGGTTTCCAAATGGAGGGTGAGGGAGAGCTTTGTATGCGTCTCTGTGTGTGGAGTAAAGGTTTCCAAATGGAGGGTGAGGGAGAGCTTTGTATGCGTCTCTGTGTGTGGAGTAAAGGTTTCCAAATGGAGGGTGAGGGAGAGCTTTGTATGCGTCTCTGTGTGTGGAGTAAAGGTTTCCAAATGGAGGGTGAGGGAGAGCTTTGTATGCGTCTCTGTGTGTGGAGTAAAGGTTTCCAAATGGAGGGTGAGGGAGAGCTTTGTATGCGTCTCTGTGTGTGGAGTAAAGGTTTCCAAATGGAGGGTGAGGGAGAGCTTTGTATGTGTCTCTATGTGTGGAGTAAAGGTGGTCTAGAGCTTTGTATGCGTCTCTGTGTGGAGTAAAGGTGGTCTAGAGCTTTCTATCCTCCTCTGGTTGCACATTTAACATGCTGGTAGAAATTAGGTAGAACGGATTTAAGTTTCCCTGCAGTAAAGTCCCCGGCCACTAGGAGCGCCGCCTCTGGATGGGCGTTATCCTGTTTGCTTATGGCCTATGAGACATGGATTGTGTACAGTGGGGGAAAAAAGTATTTAGTCAGCCACCAATTGTGCAAGTTCTCCCACTTAAAAAGATGAGAGAGGCCTGTAATTTTCATCATAGGTACACGTCAACTATGACAGACAAAATGAGAAAAAAAAATCCAGAAAATCACATTGTAGGATTTTTTATGAATTTATTTGCAAATTATGGTGGAAAATAAGTATTTGGTCAATAACAAAAGTTTCTCAATACTTTGTTATATACCCTTTGTTGGCAATGACACAGGTCAAACGTTTTCTGTAAGTCTTCACAAGGTTTTCACACACTGTTGCTGGTATTTTGGCCCATTCCTCCATGCAGATCTCCTCTAGAGCAGTGATGTTTTGGGGCTGTCGCTGGGCAACACGGACATTCAACTCCCTCCAAAGATTTTCTATGGGGTTGAGATCTGGAGACTGGCTAGGCCACTCCAGGACCTTGAAATGCTTCTTACGAAGCCACTCCTTCGTTGTCCGGGCAGTGTGTTTGGGATCATTGTCATGCTGAAAGACCCAGCCACGTTTCATCTTCAATGCCCTTGCTGATGGAAGGAGATTTTCACTCAAAATCTCACGATACATGGCCCCATTCATTCTTTCCTTTACACGGATCAGTCGTCCTTGTCCCTTTGCAGAAAAACAGCCCCAAAGCATGATGTTTCCACCCCCATGCTTCACAGTAGGTATGGTGTTCTTTGGATTCAACTCAGCATTCTTTGTCCTCCAAACACGACGAGTTGAGTTTTTACCAAAAAGTTATATTTTGGTTTCATCTGACCATATGACATTCTCCCAATCCTCTTCTGGATCATCCAAATGCACTCTAGCAAACT